CCTTCTTTCCACATTTTTACAGCACGTTTTAGGCCGATATGAACCGGGATCAACCGTCAACATCTTAACACTTCAATTTTTCTGGAAAAGTCGACCTCTTGCTTTCCTAATTTCTTCCACATTTCTCTCTCTTTATTTCACTACCTCCCCTGATTACACTCCTGAAGGACCCCTCGCACCACTCACCTCCCCGCTGGTTATTTGTCTGTGTGTGTTCGTTTTAACCACGCAAAAGTGTATGAGGCGAAAGGATGGTATTTGCGTAGCAATTGGAATGTGTGCACTCACTCGGCCATACACCTGCAGACTGCAGCACACGCACCTGGAACACACAAAACAAAACGATAACGATATTAGTCTAAGGAATGTTATGGAGGAGCAAGAGCAGGAGGGGGAGACGCTGTTGCCTCCCGGCACGAGAGGAGGGCGAGACTAACATCGGCGCGTCCCTGTTGCAGGTGCTGCTGTCCTACTTCGATGCCTTCAAGTTCCCCTCGTCCGAGGTGGTGCAGTTCCGCGCCCTCGTCACCCCGTGCCTGCCCGCCTGCGAGCCCGTGCAGTGCGACACCGAGGACTCATCCGGCGAGCTCCGCTCGGTCCAGTCCTTCGGCAAGCGGCGCCGGCGCCGCTCCACGTCATCCACGGCCGTGTCCAACCCGAGCGCGCGCGAGGACCTACTGCTTGTGCAGAGCATCCGCATCATGGACAAGTTCGGCTTCGACCCCAGCAAGCTGGCCGGCAACACATCATCGAGCAGCGACACGGTCTTCGTGTCCGATGACGGGTCGGCGGCCGTGTGCGTCAACCTGGCCGGCGTCGTGGTCGCGGGCATCGTGTTCCTGGCGGCGCAGCTCGCCGTCATCGCCATCTGGACGTGCGTGTGGCAGCGGCGACGGGGCAGCAAGGAGAGCCACCTCGACAGCCTGGACGGCATGTCCGTCAGCGTAGCCAGCCACCACGGCAGCCACCTGGGCAGCCACCACGGCAGCCACCACGGCAGCCATCACAGCAGCCACCACGGCAGCCACGTCTCGCGCACCGACTCCCTCTGCAAGCTGTACGACACGGGGTACGCGCGCAGGTTCTAGAACTGAGGTTTCCATTCCCTGCCTACATAGACCAAGTACAAACGGCAGGACCAACCACCATCCCATAGGCGGGGTGTGCCATCGACGAAGGACGCGGATATTCAATCAAAAGAAAATCAACTAAATGACAATCCAGCTTTACGACGAGACAAAGGACGCGAAATCGTGGTTTCAAAGGTGTGCATGCGTGCAGTGCACTGTGAGTGTGGTGATCTGCAAGGCGCAGCAAGGCATGCATTACCTATGGGGCGACAGACAGGACGTGAGCTCAGATAAGATGCTAATGTTATATGACGAGACGAATCACAGGTTAAACGGGGTGAGATATAGAATAACACAGTCGATCCGGCGGGATTGGGTGTTTCAAAAGGAAATTTGGGTTAACAACGGTCATTACAGAAAAGATGTTTAAGGATGCACCCTGTAGTAAGATGCCATTTAATTTTACAACTGATTTAAATTGCGCCCTTGAGTATGATCAGGCTGCAGAAGATCTAATACAATTTCCGAAGTAAAATTTTAAAATTCCTCTCAAATAGATAAAATAGACAGTATTCCAAAATAAATGGGATATTAGCAGTGATGAACGCTAGAATTAAAACAAAAGTGATTCTTAATTTTAAAAGGGTTTCAGGAGAGAGGATCTTGTTAATGCTTGTGGAAGTCGTGGGATACAGTACTGCCGATTATTTTACTGCAAGGTTGTCGCAAATTACCCCCTTCTCCACCCTCAATTTTTTCATGAGAATTAAGAGGATCCCTTCACTGCCCGAATCCGTAAGAAAATTATTTTTAGTGGTGAGAATGATGATTGAATGCATGAGCGTGTTCTTCTAAGAATGTGTCTTCCTACAAGTTAATACTATACTCCATAAGGTTAAAAGAAGTGACTTTATTTAGATGTAAAGCACAATTCTCGAGGAGCATGTGTTTGTACGAACAACGAAAATATCTTAACGACTTCCCACTCCAAGCGGGCTTTGCTGCCATAAAGAATTAGCAAATCTCACCTATATGTTTTTGTGAAAAAAGTGTAGTCTGATTGGAGTGAGTACTTCTGCTTCGGAAGAGGAGAGTACTTCGCGAAGCTTAACTTGGAACTTGAGCTCTCATGACCGAATAATATAAATATATAAATATATATAGGTATACATATTTAAGAAATGTTATATTTAAATAACGAGGTGAGGATGACCTGTTCGATTGGTTATGAATGATATTTATATCAGTGAGTCCATGTGCGAATGTGTGTGTGATTGTTTATCGAGCGTTTGTCCTCTTCTCTAATCATCAGGGTCTACAACGAATCCGAATGTTGGATTAAACTTAGTACCCTTACGTATGTTGTTTTTCTTTTTAATAAAGTAAAAAACATTCGCATTGAAAGACAAATTAAAAGGATTCTGGAACTGAACAGCATTTTAAAGTGTAGGTTCTGACTGTAAAATGTTTTTTGTGCATTTTGCGGTCTCAAATGTATGTACCTGTGAACCTTCGCGTTCGGCAAATGCCTCATGTGAAGAGAGCCTGGTGCGGCATAATATCAATTTTAAACGTGCCTTCTTGTGTCTACTTATGTAATAGTTGTTCGTAACATTGACGCTTTTCTTTTAATAAAAAAAGGAACTAATTTATTTATAACTTGATTCATTTTATTTAAATGAAACGACCCTTTCGAAAAGACCTGCGCACACCACAGTGAGAAAGAAAATACTGCAACCCTGGCAATGAAACTGACTGAAACAAATTATTTCCTATTTAACATGCGCCTTTCTGTAATGGCGAATAGCTCACACAATACGACAGGGCATTACACCCCTCAAAATCAATAACCCTTCAAAGTTATTTGCGTCCGAGAGCAATCGTTAAAATTCCTAAGACGGGGTCCCATCATGTGACAAGAAAAACAATTTCAGGGACTACAGCATGGCACTGCTTACCCAACAATTACCCTCTGTTTATGTGTCGAAGGAAGATGCCCTATAAGTGGGCATAGGGGGCGAAACTAATTCAAGGCGTTCAGATGGATACATTTTATTACAAAACCTCTGCAAAACATGTACACGAGTAGTAGGTGATGACAAACATTTATGTACCAAGTAAAATGATGTTAGCTAACCCGTGGTATTTAAAATCTGAGAGAAATTCCTAGATATTAACTGGACAGTTTAGAACTCATGGAGCACTCTGGGTGGGCGAAACGCAGGGGATGGCCTTAAAGAAATCAATTCGCAGAGCACGGCCAACATATACGGGCCTTTCAACCAATGAACAGGAGGCCCAATCGCACTAAGAATGACATCGGTGGCCACGCTTGTCAAAGGGTTAACTAACTGGCTTTGTGAATCGACTCACGCGCAGCAACGGTCCCACGATTGAATCGGGGGCTTGGCCAAACAAAGCCATATTCAGAGGGCAATGGACGCGCGAGCGTTACAACGCGCTTCCTGATCACAAGAGTAAAAAATAAAAATACTGTACTGAATAAAAGTTAACATTTTGCAATGTTTTAGGGGTACAGCGTCAAAAAGAAATACTCCGTGACCTCTGCAAAATTAACTCCAAAACTGATTTACAATTAACTGACTTTTTCATGAATTTACGGACCGAGTTCCAATTACCTGACTTTCCACGACTTCCCTGACGTGTAGAAAACCGTATGATATCTAGACAAAATCACAGTAAAATGATTTGAAAAATTGTCCGTACGAAAGTCACAACTCACATCTGCGATTGTGGAATAAAACAATCGAGTCAAGGCAGGTTGCCACAGCTAAGATGTTGGGCTCATATATTTCTTTAATGACCCAAGGGGCAGTCCGACGCGACGTGTTTTCAAGGAATGTAAAGAGCATGGCCACACAACCAGCTCGTCCGAAACCCCATAGTTTCTGTTCGCGGCGAGAAGCCATAAGAACACGCACTTCAGGCTTCAGCAGAATCACAACGCATTTAATTTCATCAATTCAGAACCACACGTAATTTCAGCACACGTGACAACAAATGCGCTCTAGCGCATCTCCACCCAAAATTATCTTCCAGAAGCATCAGTATCTGGAGCCCGGGCCAAGAGGCGCGCCGTTGCGCACCTGTCGAGGGTCATAACCAGAGATCGCTTTACACCCATTGCAGGTAATCGCTGCCTTTACGAGCCGGCTGCACACATTCCCTAAAGACAACACGTTACAAAGATCGATAGCTCCGCATTCGCACAATCTGGGTGTTGTTCCCCCAATATTTCTTTTCCCAATAAACCCACGGGGAATCGACCTCCAGCAAAACTTGTTAATTGGCCCGATAAGCCGTCCTAAAGCTGCTGGTGATCAAGATCTAACGGTCCGCTTTGTCATATCGCTTCGTGTAATTAAGGATGGTGCCGTACCGCTAAGCAGGGCCGCACTTCAGTATAGAATTTACTTTACCTGCCGTAAGAATTGTTTTCTGTTTCTTTGCTCAGAACAAGTAAAAGCAAATGACAGGTATGAGACGTCTCTTCGGGTGTGACTTAAGACGAGGACGAGGCGGTTGCTGCTAAAAATTGCATTTCGACCGTGCGTTAACATTTTCCCTCCAAGTGTACCACTCTAGTTCCGCAGCAAGTCCACCTCTTTCCGGGAAATATCTCGCGAGCCAGCCGCGTTTGCGATCGATCCCTTATAACGGTCCAAGAGGCACCCGGCATGTGCGTCGCACGCAACTGATATATTGTGTCTCCAAGAACATTACCTTTTAGTCGACCTGAAATTCAAATTGCCATTTCGCACGGCCAGCTACCTATATACCCAGTATACTAGGAACGTCCAAAAAGATAACAGGCGAGCTCTGCTGCTTAGCACTCCACCACGACAAGCAGCAGCGCTGCGCATCGCGCGGACGGCTGCGAGTATTTTAACGGGGTACACCCGGAGGTCTTGATGAATGGTTCAGTGCGACAACTACTCGGCAGGTATCAAAGGTATCAAACATGTCGGGTACCAGGGGCGTATAGGGTACCTGACCCGAGGTGCGCCGCCGAGGAATGTGGGTCAAGCAGTACGGTATGCATTTCAAAGTGACAACTCGCGACAAGTAGTGTGTTTGGGGCCGTCAGGCGTCCCCTTCAAGCCTCGTTGGATTGAGACGCTTGTTTGACCGTCCAACAATGGCCCCTTATCCCCGATACTAATAACAAGGCATAACGGCACTCTCCAATCCCAATATCCTCGTCAGCGCGACGTGACACCATATTCATATTCACATTCCGCCAGTCGGACGGCCAGCAGAGGGCCCCGCGGGCCTTCCGAGCGACACAGGATGTGAGTGTGTGTGTGTGTGTGCGCGCGCGCGCTGTGTCAATCCGGCCGTGCCGCATTGAGCTCGGTACACAGAGTACAAGGCAGGCTCCGGTGCTCGCTATGCACCCCGGGGGGGCCAACCAATCTGACCGGAAAGCAACGCTACGCCCCGCCACGGTCTCCCGGCAGCGGCTGCAGCGTGTCCTGGGGAAGTAGTTGCAAGGAGGCCGCATACGGAAGGTGTAAAGCAAACATTTACAAATCGTTTCAAGAAATAATTGCTAAGGATAACATCCACAGCAGCTACCCCATACAACGAATAGGGAGAATTTCGTAGGAACACTTCCCAAATAGAACGTTGACGTTGATCTTACGTGATGTGAACATTTTAGAAGTTTCGTAAACGTCTAAATTTGGCACACTTGGGCAAGCACAGGCCCGTAAGGCACCATGGTCCCTGGAGTATAGGCAAACTGGCAACGATCGCTCAATCGTTCTTTCCGAAAACAAGCGGAACAAGCGTTTCCGGAAGCTTTTCCGCCAGACAGAGCACCGAATTCTCACCATGCGAGCTTCCGAACAACGCTGCACGGTGCGGTGAGGTGTAGCTGTAAGCACTCTCAGTCTCAGTGTCTAAGGACAATCATTGTAAATAGCACCGGACTTCTGTAAACATAACTGAGCACAGATACAATGAAGTAACAAACAATACGCATTTAGTAAGTTGCACAATATTGTCTTTGTTTCCAGTTGTTTGTTTACAGAAGTCCGGTGTTGGTTACAATAATTATCCTTCGACATTTAGAGTGGGAGCGCTCCAGCAGGAGCCATGAACTTGCAACAAGAGTGTTTCAAGTCACATCCGCGCCTATTGTTCTCGACAGATATTTTGAATGTTGGATGGTTCGCTTCTTGTAGAAGCGTACAAAAGATGAACAAGACAGAACGGTGCAGCAAGGAGACGACAAGGAAACTGGAGATCGGGAGAAGAATTCCAGAGATAGCAACGCCCCGGTCCTTATGTTAATAAGAATCAAAACTCTATCAGACATACGCCACAGTACAGCGCACTTGCTCAGCCAATCTCCATTTCAACGAAACTCTCGCCCTTGCCTGGTACTGCGATGCACGCCAACAGATGGGTTGGGGCAATGGACGTAATCATAACACACACACACAAACACAGACACGCCACGCACCTGTTCATTCAATGCAACATGCACATGAGACGCTATAGATAATCTGCATCGTCATCATCCTTACAGACGTCTATAAAGTCTACAAATTAGACTTTCGGGAAAAAGCCAAACATGTGCTCAACGACGCAACTTTCATAACTTCCAGAACAACCAGCGAGGAGTAAAAAGTACAGAGTAGGCAACAGCCTTATGGCCATAGTGGGAGTGACATATAATTGAAAGGATGCTAGCGGCTAGTCTATCGAGATGCCATGAGAACAACGGTCATCTATCAAATTGCAATGAAAACAAAAGCGCAGTCCAAGCGTAGTTCAAGCACAGTCCCCTCGTTACAGGCGAATGAAATGAATGGGCGTGATGCGCGCGGCAAAAGAGGAAAAACGTCAAAAACATTAATTTTCATTTCCTGTTATTTTGTCCCCTTTCTGACGTATACAAGCCATTTGCGCAAGCAGCCTAAGGATTTCGGGATACACACTAAAATGACTGGAAATACTCGCAGCGTTTCTAGCAAAGACTGCAGAGCAGCAGGTTAGTTTGGCTGAAAAACACTTTCTAGCACGGCATCGCAAATACCCTCTAGCTCAGCGCACGGCGCCCTATAGGTCACGAGTGACACACCCGAGTAGACGGGATGCGCTGACCTTCCCACAGAGTGAGCCGTCGCCGCGTCACCGCGAGGATCAGCCGGGCAGGCATCACCCGGCGGGGCGGAGCGGGGCCGCCAGAGGGCACCGGTGGGACGGAGGGCGGGCGGGGCGCGCAAGCGCCAGCGGGAGACCAGGAAAACCGGCCGCGCTTAAAAGGTCGTGTAAATTTGGAGCTGCGACGCGAATGCATTAAGGTGTTGACAGGCTCGAAATGGGTTCCCGCCGCGCGAAGCCGGAAAGAAAAACAAAACAAAAAATAAAGAGGAAAAATGTATCGCGTGGATCATAAGGGGAGGCGGATAACGCGCGGCGGCGGCTTCTGCAGCGCACGGTAGCGCAGAGAGGGCGCGCCGGCGGGGGTCCCATCAGGCAAGGTCGTTACGTCGTGTCGCGACGTATCACGCTGCCACGGCCGCCGCACACACCGCCACACGCCGCGCGCAGCGCACTGAACAAGGAGAAAACCAAATAAATAGTGCGAGATGGATCGATGAGAAACTGAAACCGGCCG